CTATTTTGAACTTGACTGCCCAAGTCATTTTTTTCTGCATATTATGGGGGTACAAATGTTTAGGTTACATTGCCCTTGCCCCCCTAGTCAGAGCTTCAAGCATGTCCATCCCCCATATAGTGCTCATCACACTCATTATGTATGTATATACCCATCCCCTCCTCCCCACTCCCATCTGCCCGATGCCCGATAAATGTTATTCCTATATGTGCACTTAGATGTTGATCAGTGAAACCAATTTACTGGTGAGTCCCTAGTTTTATCTTACTTAGTGTAGCCCTAGTTGAAGCTTTTGAAATGTTCTGTGTGGGCCTAAAAACATGTTTGCAATTTCAGAATATAAGAAAAATATGTATCTGGTTTTCAGAGAAATTATCTTGCACATTATCAGGGTTTTTAATTAACTTTTTCATTTTCTTTAATGCTCCTCAGAAGCTATGACAGCAGGGGGCAGTGTAATTTTCTGCAGCTCATGGACTAGGATTGGGAGTAGTGGTGAAGTGGGGTTGGGGACCAAAGAAAGGGAAAGAAAGCTTAAGTCTAGTATTCATTGACCTATTTAATATGTGTCTCTTAAGTGCCACTAGAAACCAGTTACAATTGTAAATTTGAGGATATTTTGTAATACAAAGCTGATCTCATATTTTGAGTTGCTGGGGAAGGGAGTCATATATCTAATAAATAATGGTAGTACATAAAGATAAATGAAACGAAGCGTGCACAAGTTGTGGTATGCCTACATCCCTGACTGGGCGGAGTTGTATCTGACAAGAGCTTCTGATATAAATAGCAGACAAGGCATCTATCACATCTTCACAGGAAGGGAAAATATACATCCATGTGCCAGGTGTGTTATGCCAAAATAAAGAAATTGATGTTATGGAAATGTCAATTTCTCACCCCTGTCCACTGCCCCAAATTTCTTCTTTCTTAGTTATTTTTCATCTACAAGGCCCACTTAGATTTTCTTGCTAAAGCCTTCTCAAATTAATTATTTTTCCAAATATGAGAGCTGGATTTGTGGTTTAGACTGATTTGCAAAATTGGCTAAAACATTGGAAATAGATTTCCAATTCCATTTTGTAATTACATGTATTTTATATCATACATCAATAAATCAAGAAATTTATTGATTGGAAGATACATTAGAGAACACTAAGAAAACTTTGTAATTTCAGGATTGACTATAAAATGGATTCCAATTCAGTTAGAGTAAAGGGTAGAAAATATCAAATTAGAATCTATGAAATGTAGAGTAACTAAATGTTCACAATTGAATAACACTTTACAAGTACCCTGTGATGTAGCTAGTACTATTGTCTGCACTGCAGCGAGAAAGCCTAAGAGTCATTCAGTCCACAAGTATAATATTTACTGAGCATCCAGCCAATGCCAGGTTTAATGCCAAGTCTTCAGCCTGCAACAGAAAAAAAAAGCAAATATTGTCTCTTCTTGTGGATATATGAACTGTTTTTAACTGGCTAAACCCACAGACCTTATGAAGACTGTATCAGACATTTAGAGGTCACTTGTATGCTCAACCAACCCAACCCAGAACTAGTCTACCAAACTAATTTCAGCCTCCTGAAAAAGATAATAATTTAAAAATACTAATTCAGATGTAAAACATACAGCAGAGAAAAACAAACTAAATAATATATGCATTTCTATTTCTTTCTTTAAAAAAACATACATGTTAATTGTTTCCTGCATATCAGTTTCATTTTTAAACCTTTCCTCTGACCACAGGAGCTGATGCTGTGGAAGCTCAGTGTAAAAGATTTGAAGTGAGAGCCAGTGAAGATGGCAGGGTGCTGTTTTCTGCAGATGAAGATGAGATTACCATTGGGGCTGAAAAGCTGAAAGTTACAGGTACTGTAGATTGAGGTCTTGGAACATTGTTTACTTCTTGAAAGAATATGCAACTGCCCAAGAATCTACTTAATAAGATGCATGATTGCCAGGCCTAAAACGAAGTCTCACATAATATCATGATGTCACAATATTTAGTTTTCAAATAGTCCTTACATGGAAGGCATTGGTTGAGGTTGCAGAAGAGAATGTCAATATTAGCATCCTTAATGATTTAAAAGTAAAGCTGTGTCTCTCAGGCGGAGGTAGGTGAAGGAAAGCAGTGTGGGTGGGTCGTAGAAGAAAAGATGGAATGCAAATACTGAGAAAAAGTTTCTGAAGGTGACAAATAAAATATAGAGATATTAATTAAAAATAAAAGATATGTGAAAGAAGAACAAAAATGGAAATATCAACTTTAGAATTCAGTAGGAGAGAAAGGTTATAATATAATAAACTAAATCTGTATTCTGTAGGGTACATAATTATCCTTAAAAGTATGTAAGTAAAGAAATAATGCTATACACATATTATTTAAGTCATTAAAGTCATTATTATAATATTAGGGTCATTAAAGTAAACCACCAGCTGAAATTAAAAACAAAACAAACAAAAACAAAAAATTGAAAGAGTTAGAAGTGGGACTGGGAGTGGGGAAGAATTCGATGAAGACAATTTTAAGCATAATCTCTTCTAAATGACTTGATTTGTAACCATGATACATATTATTTTGATAAAATATTTTAAAATCCTTTAAAAGTACCCAAAGATGTTCACATTTAAAAGCACAAGAAGAAAATGTGTATATATATATATATATAATATATATATATATAATATATATATATATAATTTGACTTAGTACTTTGCAAACTTGAGTTTGGGAACAGGTCATGGAATATCTATGTACCTACATGTGTGTGTTCAGTATGTTCTCAGTACATAATGAAGTAGTTGTGTTAGCTCTTTATATTTACTAATAAAGATAATATTAATATTACAAATGTCCCAGACACCAGGGTTTGTGTTGATTTCAAGAAAGGTGTATTATTAAATGGTGATGAAATTCAGTAAGAATTGCTGAATGGGGAGACTCACTGGGCATCCCTGGGCTCACATTCCACCAGCCCCACCTCCGCCACCACTGTCCCAATCCCTGCTTTCTCTTGTAGAGGACCCTGCTGAGGGGCTGGAGCCTGCACCATTGGGGTAGGTGTCTGGGGGGTGGTCCATGAATGCCCACGGGTTTGATCCCCTTTTTCTTAAGACTCCCTGGGCAGGTCAGGAAAGGAGGCATGCATGGAGGACACAAGTTGACCTTCTTGAGTCCTGATTTAGGGAACCAAGGACAAGATAAACAAACAAAAAAAGCATGAGTGTTTTGTTTGGCACAGAACACAGGCAAATCAGAAAGGGTTTTAGGCTCCTGAACATTAACATTTGAATTGCTGGTTAGTGGGAACATTGGGATCCCTGGGGTAGAAATGCCTTCAGGGTGATCGAGCAATATTAATAATCTTCGAACCCTGGCAATGCCTACTTATTATCACCCTTGAGACCAGCATAACCCTGAGATACCTTTCAGGATATTACACACTTATCCATAATTTCTTTAATCCATAATCAGATATTCCCATTGAGTACTTTGTAGTCATAAGTAAAGGAAGGTTGTATAGTTCTTGGCAGCTTTTCTGGTCTCATGGAATCTTAACTTCTTCTAATCTTTGTACCTTGACTAGTCTTCATAATATAATAGTTCCAGTAAAGTGCTGTTCTCACAAAATTAGAGCCATTGATTGACTTTTTTATTTTTCTTTGCAGTAGGTGGATAGTCAGCTTCTTTTTCTTCTTTTGCTGGGTAGCCTAGAAGCCATCCTTGAACTGTTAATTGGACTAAGTCAAGTAAGAAAGTGCTTCCTAAAATAAAATCTAAGTTTTTCTGCTTTTCAATTAAGTGCCTTAGGGCAGTCATCTATGCTAACACTCTCTCTCTCTTTCTCTGTCTCTCTCCCTCTCCCTCCTCTTCCCCGCCCCCCTTAGCCACTCCATATGTGTAGTGTGTATGTGTGTAATATATGTATGGTATACATGGATGCATAGATGGTTAAATAAATATGTCCCAGGCTAGCTTTCTTTTTATTTTCACTTATTTCTCTGTCTCATATGCACATAGCCTTGCATTCATCCTTCAAAACGCTCTTGATTGGTCTATATTTTCTAATTATTTCCGATACTCCTAATTAATTTGTTTTACAATAGAAGTCTGTATCATATGATTTCAGAAGATCTTAAATAATAAAGTAATAAAATTTTGAGGCCATCATTGCAGAATCTAAGCAGGTTTTTGTAAGAGGTTGAAGCTAAACACTTAGGATGAAAGAAATGCCAGAGAACTATGACAGCACGTGTAGCAAATAATGCTGACTTTTAACCTGATGTGGATTTATAAGAGGCTCTGCAATGTTAATAAAGAAATGCTAAATTCAGTTTTATTAGCGTTCCCTCCACTAGCCATTCACATGACTGTTTCTCACAAAAAGCCCATATAGCCACAGACACACACAGAGATACGAACATAAACACAAATGCACACACACTAAAATTCCTGCCGGGTCTACTCCTTTACCAGAATGCTAGATATTAACTTTATAGTAGCTTTATTCCTTCCCATGATTTTTCCTTTATTTTGCCTAAAATAAAGGAAAATAAAGACAGTGAAGGCAAATATATTTTAAAATTCCACATGCTTCGAGCAAAAAAAAAATGTACGTAGCGTAGCATGCAGTTTTAGGGCATTGAGATTGATTAGTAACCTCACATATACTTTAAAGTAGTGATTGAATCACTTGACAAATAACACTACAAAGAGACACTGACTCCAGGGTGCTTATAAATTAGGTAGCTGGGCCTACAAGACTTCAAAGTTGCATGTGACAAGAGATCTGTGTGAAGTTTACTTTAGAATTTTAAATTGTGGCATGAACATTTTATATTTAAGCAATGTTCATAAGAATTAAAATTGAAATAGATCCCTCTAGCTTGACGCATTATGAACAATGGCATCTTATAAACAGACTTTTATTGCAGGGTGACAGAAGTGGATGCATTTATTTAGACAATGGGTGTGTCTATATACTTAAGGTAAAATCATTTATGACTCAAATCATTCACAGATCTGGAGTGACTCAGCATATTTTTATTTATTCTGTCTGCAAAGAAGCAAGAATTTACTTGATACTTCAGATACTCCTAGGATGCAAGAGGATAGAAGTAAAATGATAAATACCTGAACAACACCACCTGTCAATACCCCATCACCATAATGAGTAATCATATGCTTAAAATTTGTGATTTTTTTAACTTTTGATATTACTTTTCCTATTCAAAAATAGCTTGCTTAAATCTTAATCTAAACGTGCTTATTTGAGTTTATATGCTCTCTCCATATCACTGAATGTATAGGAGGTTTGTATTTTAGCTCACCTATGAACACCTGAAAACTGTTTTCATTTTGTATTCCCTACTATTGGCCAATGATATTACTTAATGTAATTATCTTTTGAGACCTAGTAAACAAATAAATGGAAAAAAACCTTACACACAGAAGACTCTTAAATTTAGTGCTTTCAGGCAGAATCTGTCAACTGCAACTGCAGTTAATTCCATTTGTATTCCAAGAAGTATATTAACTTTAAAAAACAAAATGGAAATATAAGTCTCCCAACTTTATAAAGTGAAAGACTACAGCCCTGTCGGACACTTTCATGTTAAATTAAAGCTATTAGTTTGACTGAAACCTATTTTGCCTATGAGAAAAGGGGAAATAGCTACATGTATAAAGAGAAAGAATATCTCCTTTTTTCTTCAGACAGTAGCAATTAAAACTGCCAACCTAAAAGAATAGTGAGAAGCAACCTGAATCCACCCCATGCTCTAATGTTTGTTTGAATGCCAAGAGTATGACTCCTTTGTCTCAGTTCTAATTGAATGATTGGAAGGATAGACAAGTTCCAGTGCTTGTTTGACAACAGAATGAAGGATTTTCTGAAGAGCTGTCTTTTAAATTAAACACCATGCTTCTAGGTTAAAATCAATATTTTCTGGTTTGTTTTTATTAGCTCGTCTTCTACATCCTTGTTCTTGTCTATTAAATTGGCACCTGTGGTCAGTCAGCTCTGGAGTCAACCTTTCTATTAGGTAGGCCATTGTTCCTCTGAGCTGTCCAAATGCCAGGAGTGTCGTAATACTCAGGCAACGGGGTAGAGCTGCTTTGTCTGAATAGCCCCTGAAGAAATGTGATTAGATTAGGTGCTGACAAAAGTGATGTGCAATCACTTAATTTTCTCTGGTGAAATATTTCAAGTTTGTAGACTTGGATCAGCCATTCAACTCAGTTATCTAATTTCTTTTTAAACTTACCTAGGGTAAAGATTTCAGAGACACTAAAGATTAGTACCACTCCGTTCCCCTCAAATCTCCAGGCAAAAACCGATTTCAGGTTTTGAAGTACGTAAATAATAAACTATGTCATCTTCACAAAATAAGTTGTTTCCTCTGGGCACCTTCCTGGCGGTCCTCTCCATGACTTATTTTATTTTTCCAAGCTTAAATTAAATGTTTTCTATTTTTTTGTGAAAGCAAAACTTCTTGAAAATATAATTGAATAATAGAAAACTGTGAGATGTGAGGAGAGTCATAAAAGAGGACAATTCATTTACAGGGGAAAAAAGTGATTGTAGCAACTAACTTTTCTCTGTGTAGTGGTTTCAAAATTTTTCATTTGCTATTTAAAGTTCTTCTTATAGCTATAGGCCTTAGATCCACAAAAGCTCTTGGAAGTATAATTTATTCTGCCATTCTATAAATGAATAGTCTGGTTTCCTATATATCATAATGACATTTAAAAAATACATCACTTGTAGAATGTGGAAAACTAGAACTGCTTGACGTCTTCTTGTTTCCTTGCTGGCTGTCAGGGCCTGGGATTTGCACACTGAGGATGCTCACACAGCCTTCTCCTG